TACATTCTAAACCACTTACATAATATGTGCCATAGCGAGCATAATGAACCCGATTGGTAGCAAAGCACAAAGGCAAAGATTCTTTCCAAATGAGCATTCTCAGGTCATAATCATTCGTATTGACGGAAAAGTGCAATTTCTGCTGACGATCAACAAGCTCCATATACTTTGCCCAAAACTGCGGTGTTTTACCGAATTCTCCATTCAAACATTTGGTTTTCTGTATTTGACATTGATCAACATATTCTTTAACAGTGTCATCGTTAAGAATGTTGGTTAAACTCGTTGCTTGCGCGAGGTTACTTTGTGCGCACTCCTCGACTTTTTTTGGCATGGTCGGTAGATATTGTTTTACAAAAAGTCTTTCTAATGCTTCAGAAAAAGCCTCGTGAACAAGCCAACATCGATTGTAGTGCTTTCCACTCATCACTCCCGTAATACTTCCAGAGCTACACAGACCAGCTTGAAATAACCCATCTTCGAATCCACTGTTCTCCACGAAACGTCCAATAACTGCAAAAAAGGTCATCATTGCATGAAAATCTCCCAGATGGATTATTATGTCGGACCACGCAGCTGGATTGTTCCAAACCACATGAAAGGCCTTGATTGCAGCTCCCGCATCGAGGGTGATGTGAGTGTAGGACATGTTGGATAGCTTCGCCAGCTGCCTAGATTGATGGAACATTTCTATGATGGTGGAGTATTCGGTTATTGGAGAAGAAATAGGAGGCAGGTATGTCATCAGTGTTGCCTTGCTATGAGCCTGCTGAAAACGACGTACGATCCAACCTACGAACCGGGGGTTTGTCTGATTAGCCGAGTTCAGATATCGCACTGATTTCCATATCTGCAACAGTTTCGAACAATACATTTGTGCACTAGTAGGAGCTGGTCTGCTCTGTATTTTAGCAAGCGATGGTGCTTCTGCTTTTGGGTTGACTGCCACTCGCTTATCAACCGTCTCTTTGGGGAGTTGGATCGATCGTCGCTTTGACCTGGGAATGCTTATATCGTCTTGTCTCATCACAGCTGCGTCAGAGTGTTCTTGAAACGCTATTCCTGGTGTATTATGGATAGAACCAGCGCCTGACGCAGTTTCAACATTGCGATCAAAGTTATCCCACCAGAATATCGTTGATACCTTAAGGGGAAAATGCTACAACTTAATTTTGTTGATTATTTCTAAGCGAAAATTACCTTACTGAGACTTTCTTATTGTGAATTTAGTAAAAAATTTCAATTCCAATCTAAATTGATCGTATACAAATGTTGTGATGAAATACAAATAGACTATGGTATAAAAATGTAAACAATTTACGGCGAAGTTCGTAACTCGCTTACATAGTTCTAAAGCTTAGCGCGCATCATCATCGTTGTCTGCTTTTTTTTTCACTGTCAGATTGCGAGTTTAGTTTCAATAATCGTAAACTGATATACTTACTTTGGAACCAATTGCTGCTGGTTGAAGAGGTAAGTTCAGACCCATGGATTGAAAGTGCTCTACCAGCTCAGCCTGAGCAGTCTCGATTTCGTTGATTGCGTCGTATGTAATACAATGTCCTAATCTTTCCAGTATAGTTATCGGTAGTTTTTGACCAGTCATACTATGAAGGCCAAGACCTAGTGATGCGTGTTTTGGCGTAAGGAATTTCCCCTTTGAAACAGCGTGAATGACATCTTGACAAAACGAGTCAGTCAGTCGATCTACTCTTTCGGCAGTGACGTGATGACTTCCTTTAAAAGACAAAAGTTCCTTGAAAAGCAATTGCAGAAGCTCTGGGTATTGTCTCTCTCTTGAAACCAAACTTTCAACTGTCGGTGGCCATGGAAGTGGGTCAGCCTCTTCTAAAAAACTTAAGACAGACTCTTGCAGAAACGATGCTGCCCTTCTTAAGGCGGATTGTTGAATACGTGTAGAACTTCCCGAAATCATCTGATTGTGCAAACATTCTTTACTTATCACCACTTGCGAAATATGATATTCTGCTTGAAGAAAAACTATTTGATCGCCAAATGACTTCGTAAGGCGTTCCTTCAGCTTGTTTCTGCTTTGCCTTGTTCCAATATTACCACAATATCTTGTCATTAGTATTTCCATTGACAAACATTGCTGACCGCCTATAATATCACTGTCTACCAAAGAAAGTACTGCGTTGTAGTCCCCTGATTGTTTGTCATCATTTCCACCTTCGGTTGATTCAGCTGTTTTCCTGACGACTCTAGTATAGTCAAGATAGCATTTTTCGTGTTTTTGAAATTCTTTTGCTTTCAAATCAGTTTCGGTGACGGCTGTCATCATTTCTAAATCATTGTGAACAATTGCAGCTTCTTTTAGTGTTCTTTCTGCAGTATCGGTGACAATCCTAGATAGTGACTGGCGTACACTTTTAACCCTTAACTCCTTCTTCTTACAAATCATACATATATTCGGGAACAGTCCTCTAGAGCCAGTAGCTTCATCACTTTGTCTTTGTGATGTTTTTCTTGTTGATTTTTGAAGCTTGCTATTGGAACCTTGACAGCCGTCTTGGCTTGTTTTCCGTTTCAATAACGTTTTGGCATATACAAACTTTTGAAAACATTTTCGATGGTAGAAGTACTCAATTTCTCCCAAATTCTCTGGAATTTTATTGCATTGATCAATGTGATGATTTTCACCGCCCAGACTCTCTCGTATTTTCTTACACTCGAGCAAAGTTTCAAATGTATTTGCACTTGGTCGAATCTGTTTATCACTAGATGTGTCCAGTGAGTCATAGTGAACAACACAATCGGCCATTTCTTCCTACATCGTCTCTAAAACCTATTCAAACGACTCTTGATTGCTAATTCGATGAACTGTGAAACAATAACACTTCGAATTCTGTTATGTTTTTAATGTTGTTTACAGCGTGAAATCGACAACTTCCGCCAATAATTATTTTGTTCAGTAATAATTATTTTGCTCAGACCAAGCATTTTCGCGCGGATATTTACGTTTACCGATCGTTAAAAACCTTATAGCACTTAAGATCTAGAAAAATAGATAAATTGTCCGCATCGAAATGCTTTTTTATTCGAACTAATCAATTAAAACAGAGAAATCGCGAATTTGGGATATTTTGCAACATTGCAAGAGTTCGACGAGAACGTACTAATTTTAAAACTAGGAGTTACTATCGCAAGGAAAATGCTGCCGATATGTACATGTAGGATGTGCTACAAAAAGAGCGTTTTTCACTGTATGTATGATTTATTGTCTTACACATCGTCGTTCCTCAGTTACCTTCGTACAATTATATCTTACATCTAATCTTATGAAAAGTATATTTTAATATACTTAACAGTGCGACTTTGATAGTTGACACATAATACAAATGATAAAATGTGAATATTATTGAATGATTTTGTCACTCGTACAACTTTTAATTTGGCTATTCAAACAATTGATTTAAAATAGTTGAATTTATACTTACTGGGATGTTATTGCTTATTGGGATGTTGAAATTATGTTTGTTTTAAATACATTTAATTGATATTCCATAAATTCATTTTGTATGATTTCATTGACCTTGACGTTGTTCAAAATCATTTTGTATTGTATTGAAACTGTATGTCTATGACCTATGTTATGTACTATATTAACCCATTGAGTCGCATTGCACCCTGATGCACCCTACTTTGAACAGTATTTTACTCTGTCTAACGCCAGACGATTTTACTCGTCAAGGGGAGAGTGCTGGCGCTTAATGGGTTAACTGATCTATCTGCCCATGTGTCTAGTTAACCCATTGGGTCGCATTGCACCCTGATGCACCCTACTTTAGTATTTTACTCTGTCTAACGCCAGAGTATTTTACTCTGTCTAACGCCAGACGATTTTACTCGTCAAGGGGAGAGCGCTGGCGCTTAATGGGTTAACACGCCCAAAATCTGTACTAAAACTGCTAATTCTGTTTTGTGATTGGCACAGTTTAATCAAAGAATCCTCCCGTTGAACCAGAGCCTTCACGATATTTCAATTTATTATTAACTGAAGGCTCTGGAATCCAGGATAGCTTGCCATTGAATACAGTGCAATGCTTATATTTCTGAATGAATAAGATCATACTCAGAACAGTCAGAACTGCAAAACTATATTGTTAGAAAGAAGTTGAAGTTGTGAGCATTATTGTGGTAACACAGCATATGTATATATCAATGTATGTCAGTAGAATCATGTTTATAGGCTTTATATATAACTGAGGCCTTATACAAGTCATATCTTATACAAAAGTCAGTTGATATGCTATATTACATGTAATTGCTGATAAGTCCATATATGCAGACAACAATCCACACTGGGTAGCTCTAGGAATCTTGTTAAGCCTGATTTAACAACATCCCGCGTTTGTTTTTAAACTATAAACATTTAGAAATAGAACGTACCGAACACTATTATATACTCACCGCCTTTGGCTTTGCACATATTAAGTGACATAACAAACAAATAAACTAAAAGTTCATTTGCTTCTTGTATCAGCATAAAGGCATTAATCAGTACTGTCGATTTGGTCGGGAATAGATCAGTGATTCAGTGGGTATTATAATTGCCGATATATTCTTGAAATCATTTTGTTTCAATGCCTCTATATCGAAGTTTAATACACTAAAGTGACTAAACAAGTATATTAGTATAAACAGCAGATTTAAATATAAATGCCTTCATGTATTATAAAATATATCACCAGACAGGTAGACAGGGCACACGGCACGACTACATCACTATACGAGAACGAAATAAAGCCATCCTTACCTGAATTATTCAAAATATTGTCGATCATTCTTGCGCCAGAGACACAAAATAACACCGTGCTTTATTTACCCATTCATCTTCACAAATATTACTCGGAATTTTTATGGAAATTCGCATTATTTTATGATTTTTATATTTCTGTCCGTTTATAACAGTCGCCATGTTGTGAACAAACCCCCCCGGGAACAAAAAAATAATATCAAAACAGCTAGTTTTGGCCCGTCCGTGGATGACAGAATGACATAAATCGAGATTGTAGCGGCTATAAACTCGGCGGTCACGTGGTAAGCACACCACGTGTAGAGATTAGTGTGCTGCCGAGCTACGCTCGGCAGCAATTAAATATGCCCAAACGTCAGCTCGGTACGGGGCTAAAAAATTTCATGTTTGTACACAAAATGGCCTGTTTTACGCATTAAAGTATGACACATTGCCTTGTACTGGTAACATGCGTGCATAAAGTGTAATTTAAATATATTAGTAACTAAAATCGGAAAACATGGTTTCAAAGCGTAAAAACGCGGCTATAAATCTCGGAAACGAGGCAGATGGCCCAGTTCATCGTCCGAATGCAATTAATTTTCGAATTCTGCACCTAAAAATACCTAAAAGTGAGTATATTAAACAAATTATTCATTGTTTTCGCTTCAATCGAGCGGATAACGTTTTCGCATTAAAACGAGGCTTTAAACGCGAAAACGAGGCTGAAGGCCACGTCCACGGCCTGTATACCAACGATTTTCGAATTCAGCACCCCAAAATTGACCAAGTTCACTTGGTTTCATAAATTTCCCCGTCGGGGGACTATTCCCCCCTTCTCCGCGCCCAAACCACCCTTAAAATTTAGAAGTATTTGAGTATTCGAAGTACTACAAAATTACCTGATGGGATCATAATTTATACAATTCTCTTGAGCAAAGAAAAGACAGCGACATCTTACTTGGTAGGAAACTTAGCATTGGCAGATCTTCTCGTGTGTTTAACATTTTATCCAATATGGATCATCGAATTTATACAAACTATATTAAACATTGATAGTGATCGGGATCTGTTTTGTAAGTTAAATGTTCTTCTAGTTGGGCATTGCTGTTCGTTTCAGTGGCTACACTTCTCGCCATTACTGTTGATCGGTATTTATTTATTGTAAAACGTCTCAAGTATCCGCTGATTGTGACCAAACGACGAGTTTTTCTAGCTCAGATTGCGGGAATTTGGATGACTGCGTGCTGTCTTCTCATTGTGTTAACAATTCATTTTAGAAGATATGATTTCAGATTAAGAAGTTTTTATGCGACATAAATAAGAGTATAGCGGTTATTACGAAAGGTTTTCTTTGCTACATGCCACTTATGTTAGTAATAATTCTCAATTCCTGGCTTTTAACTGTTGCTGACAAACAACGAAAACGTATCTTGGCTGAAAACTCGATCTTTTAAAACTTTTTAAAACTTTTTTAAAAACTATTTTTTTAAAAAACCGTGAAAAACTCCCCACCCCCGCGCGACCAGCCTCCCTTTTAGTGCCATTACATTTATATGATTAACTCTATTGATAAGTTCAAAATGTGCCGCGAATTTATCATAATGATAAATTCGAACGTGTTTAAGAATTTACTCATATAGTAAATTCAAAGGTGGAGCTCATGTTGAAATTTCCTTATTTTTGACAAAATTTCCTTGCAGTAAAAATTATTGAATTCTACCTAATTTAAAACTGATTTTATAGTAATTTATCTCGAACGACGGGGCATTTCTTGTTCTAGAAGGAACATAGACGTTACAGGAGCTGAATTATCAAAGGGGAGAGACAAAAAGTTTACCTAGATTAACACGAAGGAGAGTAACCAGGGGGGTGCTGTTGTCCTCCCCCAGAAAATTTTCAGATTTCGCAGGACAGGATTTTCAGCATATTTTGAAGCACATTTCCTTGGAAATTGCCGTATTCTTAAGGCCCATTTACACGGTACGATTAGTTGTATACGATTCTTACTCTGGCGTATGTGATCGAATAAACACGCGTACAAACGTCACATTTCAAATTTCGCCATTAGCGAATGAGCAATAACGTGGCATTAGCACTCGTTTTCATTCGTCAGAATGACAATCGTATACAACTAATCGTATCGTGTAAATGGGCCTTTAGAATTTTTTAGAAATAAGGCAATTTCCTTCACATTTCCTTCAATCTTCTGAAATTTCCTTCAAATTTCCTTCCGATTCGAATTTCCTTATAATTTCCTTCAACTAGTTAAAATTTCCTAAACTTAAAAACTTTCCTAAAACCTAAACTTTCTTAAAATTTGCCTGGTTACAAAATTTGGCACTTTTTCAAGTTTTCATCAATACTTCTGTCATTCAAGACAATACATTGACTATTTATATTAACTTCGGAAAATTCAAACTTGAAAAGGCGCCAAATTTTGTAACCAGGCCTGCGTCGAACGTCCACAGTCGAACGCCGTTCGGAAGCGAGAAAAAATGCGGAATGCACATATCAGTGAAATGCGTAGTGAACATTAAACAAATCCAAATATATCAAAACCAAAAAATATAAAAAAATATAAATATACAAAAATCAGAAAATACAAAAATCAGAAAATACAAAAATCTAAAAATACAAAAACTGTTTTTGTGCTGTCGCGTCTGGGCCGCCGTATGAAGGGATACTATGGCAAAAAAGTGCAAGTTTTAAAGGTAGCGCATTCGACTGAATGTCATGAAATTCAAGGCCGGCGAGAGGGGGGAGCAGGGAGGCCAAAATACCTGGGGCCCGGAGTACTCAGAGAGGCCCGGAAATCCCGGTGAATGTTCGCCGTCGTTTATCATCGCTTTATGCTTGTCTTAAATGAAATACACCTACTTGCACACTATTTGCTGATCGTCATGACGGATCGTAAAACGTACCAAATGTGAAATTAATAAACCGGATTTTTCGATTTTTTTCTGCGAAAGCAGTTAGCCGTTTACATCGCGTCTTTATCAGTTACGAGATGAAATGAATTCACTGTTTGAACAAATTTATTACGTCCATCTGCTGGTACGGTAACATGCATTCACGCCACGCGCCATCAAACTTCTCCAGCGATTTCTTGCAAGTAATTCGCTGGCGATTCCCTCGTTGATTGCGATGAAAGAATAGACTTTGGTGTGGTCATCAGCGTGAGAGTCAAGAGGGACGTGGGGAGGGGGCGTGTTCACCAATTTCTCCCGGGGCCCGCGGTTGCCTTTCGCCGGCCATGAGTTCATATTAATAAGGGGAGGGTAGATATGAAAACATGACCGGTGTTTAATCAGCTATAAAATTGATGTTATTCACTGTAGGTATGATAAACTTTATATTATCTGAAAGCTTATAACCTATAGATTACAATAAAATGGACCATTTTACACGAACACTATTTGTAACCTGACACCGGCGAGGAAACCGCACCTCATGCGGTGCTAAAAAGGGGCATGAATGAGAAAAGATATATGGTTAAGAAGTGTAGGTGTCACAGTCATAAATGAGCATAGAACTTTTATGATAAATATTGTGGCAGTGCCAATGCTACCATCTTGCGATAGGTTTTACCAGGGACGTTTTCGTCAATAGAATGACCTACAAATAAGATATAGAAATTCTCTATGCTCATTGAAGACAGCAAACTTAGAAGAACAAATGCTTAAAATTTTAGCTTAATTGGTCAAATACAACAGGAGATATCTTTTCTCAACTGCCGAAATTGCACGGTTTGAGAAAATGAGTGTTAAAATTTAGAAACAACAATAGAAGTCGTTTGTGTCGTGTCTCGCAGTAATACAACACCACTTTAGTATGCAAATTTAATCAACACTAATACGAAATATCAAGCCTCAAAAATAACACAATAAGTCAAACATAGTTTGTTTTTAGTTCAACGTTCTATATACGTTTTTTTGTAGACGCGCGCGCATCCACTTAATTAAACACAAATGTCTGCTGACCAGACAATGTCATAACATTCCTCCCTGCAATTGTCAAAGTCACAAGTTTAGTTTCACAGGTGCTCTTCGCTCCCGAGCTGGATATCGTCTTGCTTGGTCGGTATTGCACGGTGGTCTACGTTCTTCTTGAGTGGTATTATTATTGAAGGATTGTCCGTGGGTGTCTCTTCAGAAGAGGTGTCAGGGTTAATGTTCCTTGCATTCTCATCATCAGACTCAACTTTGGGCTTTGGTGTAGGTCCTGGTTGTTCTTCGTGGATGTTTGCTTTCACACCTGTTGCTCTCAGTTGGTCCGCGTATCGATTCCATACTGTGTTTGATGCAACTCTAACTGATAAGACAGTGGTCCTGTTCCTGGAACACACTTGTCTCCTCCCCTGTAGTTCCTCGCAACCACATTTTGGCCTATCTGAAAGTTTGGGGCAGGATTCTGACTTTTCTTTACGGCTTGGTTTAGCTGTTTATCTTCTACTCTTTTTCTAACATCTGGTTTCAGTACATCTAACTTTGTACGTAGGTTTCTTCCCATAAACAACATGGATGGCGACTTACTTGTAGTTGTGTGAGGAGCTGTACGGTAAGCCAACAAAAAGTTGGCCAGCTTGCCTGAAATTGACTTGTTGCATGGATTTTGAAGCACGCATCCCTTGTTTGAATGTTTGAACAAATCGTTCAGCGAGACCGTTGGTAGCTGATCTTATGTGTTTGATACTATTGTTTTTCACAAAGACACTGAACTCAGCAGCTATAAATTGTGGGCCGTTGTCACTTACTATTTGGTCCGGAATGCCATTTCTGGCAAACATTGATCTTAATTCTTCAATTGTTTTAGTTGTTCTCGTAGTTGTCATGGGGACCACTTCCGACGATTTTGAATAAGCGTCCACGACAATCAAAAACATTGTACCCAGAAAGGGCCCGGCAAAGTCAATGTGGACACGTTGCCATGGTCACGCTGGCCACTCCCATGGATGTAATGGACCATTTTTTGGGTTATTTTGAACGAGTTGACAACCTGAGAAGGTTTTTGCCACATCTTCAATTGACTGATCTATAGATAGCTACCACATATAACTTCTGGCTAATGCCTTCATTTTTACAATTCCGAGATGACCTTCATGCAGTTCGTCTAACACTCGTTTTTGAAGTTTTGGTGGAATTATCACGAGAGATCCCCACATCAAGCATCCATCTTGAACAGTAATTCTTCCTTTCGTCTATAGAACGGTTCCAATGCTTTGGTGTTGACTGGTTTCCACCCTAGTCTGACATGTTTGAGTACTTGGGACAACGTTGGATCTCTCTGTGTTTCCTGGCGAATCATCGCTGCACTAACTGGAATCATTTCTACTTGTGAAACATGAAAAACGTCAGCTGGGTCAATCATCTCTGTGTTCTCTCTTTCTTTCAGTGGTAATCGCTATAATCCAGCAGCGTTTCCATGTTGAGACGTACTTTTGTATTCTATGCCGTATTCGAATCCAGCAAGAAATAGAGCATATCTTTGCAACCGAGCAACTGTCATTGCTGGAATTCCTTTCATTGGGTTGAATATTGCGGTAAGTGGTCCATGATCGGTCACCAGCGTAAAATGCCGACCAAACAAGTAAAGGTTGAATTTTTTTACTCCCCATACCAAAGCAAGCGCTTCTTTATCAATTTGCGAATAATTTTGTTCTGTTTTGGTCAGAGTACGTGATGCGAATGCGATTGGTCTCTCTGTCCCATCTTGCATCACATGGGACAAAACTGCACATATATTCCCACGGGCGAGGCATCACAGGCAAGTTTCAGAGGAAACTTTGGGTCATAATGTATAAGAACCATGTCTGATGTGATCAACTTCTTCACTTTGGAAAATGCACTACTACACTCTTCTGTCCACTCCCATTTCCGTCCTTGTTCTAATAATCGATTCAATGGGTGCAGAATAGTTGCCAAATTTGGCAAAAACTTGTGATAATAGTTCACAAGACCTAAGAAAGAACGGAGTTGCTGAGTGTTAGTTGGTTGAGGTGCATTAACAACTGCTTGCACTTTCTCTGTGGTTTTGTACTAGCCATCTCGGTCCAAGGGCGGCGCTAACCCTCTTCTAGTGGGGGTGGGGGTGAGTGGTTTTTTTGCCGACTGTTTGGTAATTTTGCCGAGTCATTAGCCTATAGTAAATGTGAATGTTTAAATGCGCATTATTACCCTCTTTTATTGCCTCGTTTATAGAACAGTAATAAGCAGCTAAAATTAAATATTCAAATGTTTATTGGGTATTGAAGGAAAACGCGCTTCCAGTTGTGACTGTCATGTCCCGCAACCCTGAAAGACTGCTGAGATTACATCCACTCCCTAAAAAGAAACTGATAACAGACATAAATGACCACTTGTGCCCAATTTCATTGACTCCTGTTTTATCAAAAGGAAGAGTTTGTGGTCGAGCAACATTTAAATTAGCCAAGATCGATGAAAGTGAATTTGGTACCATCCCAAACGCCAGTACCACGTACGTTTTGATTAGTACTGTATGTTACACTCTTGGCATAAAATTACAGATCAGCCAACGGCTCCACAAACTGAATAATTCTCTTTGACTTTCGGATATATGACCGATCACAATATCCTGCTAAACAATCTGACAAAATACGATATCCCTAATACCACTCTATACTTTGGGTATTAGACTTCATTACAGATCGTAGACAAAGAGTCAAATTAAGTGACGACTGTTTCTATGAGTGGAAAACGGTGCCTGCCGGTGTACCGCAAGGGACCAAACTTGGTCCCTGGCTGTTTTTGGTCATGATAAACAACCTCGACGTTTTGGGTGATGTAAATTTTTGTTTGGAAATATGTAGATGAATCTACCCATGTTGGAAGTAATTGACAAACATTGTACAAATGCTATGCAAGAGTACAGTATGTTGAAGTCCAAAATCAACGGCATGCAGTTAAACCATCGCAAGGAGAATTAAATGCTGCGCTCCTCCCGGTATTGGCGCATATTCCCAACGCCCATCTAATCCATGACGACCTTATCGTAGCTGCTAGGACGGTTGAAGATCATGATCGATCGGTTGACCTTTGTATGCAGGCCATTTCGGACGCAGGGATGACACTGAATGCAAAAAAGTACCAGTTTGGAAATAAATAAATTTCGTTTTGGGGAATGATCTATGGTGAAGATGGTGTTAAACCGGATCCCTCGAAGGTGGAAGCACTTGGACATCTTACTGCCCCGACTAGCAAAGAAGAATTAATCAGTTTCCTATGCATGATGCAATCGAACTCGGACTTTATTCCAAATTTTGCGCAGAGGTCGGCAAAGCTTCGAGAGTTGACGAAAGGGAGAGCAAGATTTGTTTGGAGCGACGAGCACCAGATATGTTTTCAAAGGCTGATTGACGCATTCCGGAAAGATGTACTTCTTAGATACTTCGACATGAGCAAGCCAACGTATGTATTCGTGGATGCTCACATGACCGGTCTAGCAGCAATGCTTGCCCAAGGGAACAGTGTGAGAGAAGCCAAACCAGTCGCATTTGCGTCCAGAACGACTAGCCAAACTGAAGCAAGATATCCTCAGCTCGATTTAGAGGCAATGAGTCTTGATTTTGGCCTAAGAAGGTTTCGCAATTACCTCGTAGGAGCACCACAGACGATCTATGTGGTAACGGATCATAAACCTCTTTGTTCTATTTTTAACAAGAACCAGAAGGGTTCAATCCGCACAGATCGTATCAAGCTACGGCATCAAGATGTTAGGTACGAGGTCGTGTACCAAGAAGGAAAGCTTAATCAAGTTGATTTTACGTCAAGGAAAGCCAAACCTTTACAAATGATGACGAACGAGGAGCGAGAAGAAGCGGAAGAGCTCAATAATCTCTTATATATGCTACACACCACGCCAGTTATGGATAGCATTGGGATTGGGAATATTGCAATACACACGAAGATGGATGAAACATTAACTGAGCTTGCAAAGATCATACAAAATGATCGAAAATGGATACCAAAAACTTTGCATCCTAAAGTACGAAGGTTCGAGCAACTTATCCCAGAAATAACCATCGCAGGAAACGGCGTTATGTTCAAAGGAGAGAGAATTATTCTTCCAGAGAGCCTGCAAGATACAGCAATTCAGCTGGCCCATAGAGGAAGTCACATGGGACAGAGTGGGATTGAAAGGCGTCTAAGGTATCACTTTTTCTTCCATGATATGCATCCCAAAGTGAAGCAATTCGTCGAGAGTTGCAAAGAGTGCAATATGTTCAGTGACAAGAAGACGTCCGAACCAATTAAAGCGCACGAGGTACCAAGAAAATGTTGGGAGACGGTTGCAGTAGATCTATTTGGCCCTATGCCGTCCTCAAAGCATATAGTTGTCGTACAGGACCTAGCTTCAAGATTTCCAGCTGCAAAGTTGGTTGCCTCTACCAAAGCTTCCCATGTTCTCCCGGCTATGGACGAGATATATAATTCGTATGGAAACCCAGAACATCAACTCTCGGACAATGGACCACCATTTAACTCGGAAGCTATGGAAGCATTTGCTCAGAAGCGAGATATCCATTTGAAGAAGATCCCTCCATTGCACCCATCGGCTAATCCTGTGGAGACCTTTATGAAGCCACTTGGAAAAACCATGAAAATAGCACACTATAATAGGTCCTCGGAGAAAGAAGCACTTAACCACCTGTTGATGAATTATCGTGACACCCCACACCCAGCTACTGGTATTCCCCCTGCTGCTATGCTTTTCAGAGAGGGTAGTAAGAGTGCCTTCCCAAGAAGATCTGTACCTGCAGAGCAAGTGGAAGAGGCTAGAGGAAAGGACAAGGCAATGAAACAGGATCGTCAGGACCAAGTTAATGCATCTAAGTATAAGATACCGTCAGAGTTTCAAATTGGAGATGATGTCATGTTACGAAATTACAGAAAGTCCTCCAAGTTTGATCCTGTATTCCTTCCAGAGAATTGTGAGATTGTTGAATGCTCAGATGATGGTCGATTCCTAACTATCGAAAGAAAGCGTGATGGGACGATCTTTAAAAGACACCCGGATGACGTCAAATGTTACTACGGACCGCATGATACAGTTATGGAAAGGGGCGTAATATCGGATGAAGCTATCGAAAATGGGGAATGGCATAGATGGTTTGAGCAGTGTAGACCCAAGGTAGATGACAGTTATGAAAGCGGAAATCAAGATGAGGAAGATAAACAAGAGACTAACCACGTAGAACCAGGGCATGAGAATGGAGGCGAAGTAAGCAGCGCAAACGACTACCGTGGATCTTGTATTCCTCGTCGATCACAAAGGCTACGAAGACCTAACCCCAGATATATTGACTATGCAATGTAACATTTCACAATGATGGGTATATTCAAGGACTAAAATAACTGTGTCATTATTATGGACATTTTCTGTTAAAAAGGGGGGATAAGGTACCCTATATTTATATTTAAATGAAGTATTTAGTGGTATCATAGACATATACCGCGGGACGGAGAGAACGGGGATTCAAGTATGGCGGACGAGAGATGTTAGATATTATTTAATGTAGTGTGATAAAAGATTGATTAAATTGAACTTATATTACATCATTAGTAATAGTTGTAACACAGTCGAAGAATGTAATGTAATCGAAGAATGTAAAAGAGTGGACATTAGGCAAAATTGTTGTCTACTAGTTACAGTAAGAACCATCCATAAAATGCTTAGCAGTATCAAACAAGTGAAAGTTGGCCGCGGTATTCCCATGCTATGCATACGAAGTATTGTACATTATTATATCAACATATACTCGAGAATAGTTATCCAGCTAAACATGTTTGTCAAAATTATCACATCTTTTGGTTTTAAATCAACAATTTTGACGGATTTTGTGCAAGGACAGCTTCGGGTTCCGTTTCGCTTTGGCTGATGCTTGAAATTTCCCGGAAGTACACTTATTTACCGGAAGTTGTCGTCTCCTCCGCAGGCTCTTCGACTACTCGCGCGACTCGACACAAAATGGAAAAAAATAGTAGCCGAATTTATGACCTCGGTGTCGTACCGACCCGAGGTAATAAATCTATCTATCTATCGTTTGTTGGAATCTGCACTCTTCTTGGTCAGCAAAAATCTATAATAATAATAATAATAATAATAATAATAATGGAAACACATTTTATTTCATACAAATATTACAAACAACCAGCTCTCACAAAAAAGTACTAGGCAACCTGGCTACATTATGGTACAAATGATTAAGAATAATAATAATAATAATTACGTTAAGAATAATAATTACGTAAAAAACTGATAGGTTACCGTGTTTAAACAAATAATAATAATAATAATAATAATAATAATAATAATAATAATACTAAAGAAAGAGTGTATTAATTTGTGTATATTCAGTGTCTCGGGATTCCTTCCGTGATATTCGGTTTGAATTCAATTATTGAAGAAGTCAATTTTGGTTTTTTCACTGGTTATCTTTAGCCAATCCAGTTTTGCCGGCTGAGATAACAATTTGCCGATTTGCTGACGAGTGGGGGAGGGGGGAGGGTGTTCAATCCCCCACCCCGTGCTCTTTCAACCTCTTTAGCACCTCCTTCAGGTTTTCCAGGTGTTCATCATCATCTTTCCCAGTGATAATCATGTCATCTAAGATACAGCTTGTTCCATTCACTCCTTCTAAAACTTGATCCATTGATCTCTGCCAGATTGCAGGTGCTGATGTAACTCCAAATACCAACCGGTTATAACGGTATAACCCTTGATGCGTGTTGATTGTCAAACAGTTCCGGGATTCTTGTTCTACCTCCATCTGGTGGTAGGCTTGTCTGAGATCAATTTTAATTTTGTGCACCTGTCCCCCCCTGCTAAACTTGCAAAAATGTCATCAATACGTGGCAGGGGTTATTGCTCTGTCTCTATCTGGGGATTTACTGTAACCTTAAAATCTCCACAGATTCTTACTTCTCCATTTGGTTTTACTACTGGCACAATCGGCGTTGCCCAGTCACTGAATCCCACCTTCTCGAGTATTCCTTCACTTTCTAGGCGTTTCAATTCTGCGTCGACCTTTGGTTTTAATGCATACGACACTGGGCGTGCCATACAAAATTTTGGCTGACATCCTTCTTTCAAAGGAAGTTTTGCTTTTGTCGATTTGAGTTTGCCGATTTCTTGCTGAAAGACCTCGCCGTATTCGTCCAACAGTTTTTTCAGTTTCTTCTGTGTATCTTTCTTCGAATTCTTGGTTATTGACTTGACTACTTTTCAGTCGAGGTCAAATCCATGCAGCCAATCTCTTCCGAACAAGGCAGGTCCTGCGGTGTTCACAACGAACAATGGTAAGACCTTGGTCTGATGATTGAATTGTATGGGAACATTTATTATTTCTTCTGGTGTCATGGTTTCACCAGAATATGTTTTTAAAGTAACCTCAGTTTTCTCCAAGGGTATTCGACGTCGGAACATTTGCTTGTATTTCTGCAACGGTATTACAGATACTGCTGATCCAGTGTCCAGTTCCATTTTCATAGCATGTCCATCAATTTTGGTTGTCACCCAAATGATGCTGCTGTTCAACTTATTAACTTCGTTTATCTCTACAGATGCAACAAAATTGTCATCATCTTCTACACAGAAATAATTCTGTTTCCTTTTTATCTTTGGATCAGCTCTGCTAGAACGGCAGACTCGTTGGATATGGCCCCTCTTACCACATTTTCGACAATTCTCATTTTTGAAACGACATTCAGGAGAATTATGTGATTCAGCTCCACATCTGTAACAAGGGGTTTTCTGTTTCTCTGGACCTTTTTGCTGTGTGACCTGTTCGGTTTTGTTTTTATCTGGGTGTAATTTATTAACTTCTGTCGATTCTGGCTTGCCTTGCAATTCTTGAGAATCCTTTGCAGCAGTTTCCATTGCTAAGGCAATCTCAGAGGCTTTGCTCAAAGATAAATCTGCCTCGGAGAGTAGCCGTTTCTGGATGAGTTCACTGCTCAATCCACAACCAAAACGGTCTCGTAAAGAATCGTTTAAATTTGACATCTCAAACTTGCAATATTCTGACAATTTCTTTAGTGAAGCTAAAAATGAACTTATGCTCTCATCTTCGAGTTGACTTCTTTTATGAAACCGAAATCTTTCAGCTATAACCAGCGGTTTTGGCGACAGATGCTCTTGAAGAATTTTTACGATTTCTGTGAAGGTCTTCTGGGATGGTTTTGCTGGTGAAGACAAGCTTCGTAAAAGGCCATATGTCTTCGAGCCCATTAAACTAAGTATCGCCGGTACTTGTTTAACTTCCTCGATCTCATTGGCAAGAAAATATTGCTTTACTCGCTCACAATACGTGCCCCATTCTTCGTTCGCTTCGTCGAAAACTTCTATATTCCCAATAGGTATTGTCGTGTTTAACTTCAATAGATTCGTGTGTAGCTTAAATAATCCTCGTCGCCAATTGTAGTGTCTCGCAGTAATACAACACCACTTTAGTATGCAAATTTAATCAACACTAATACGAAATCTCAAGCCTCAAAAATAACACAATAAGTCAAACACAGTTTGTTTTTAGTTCAACGTTCTATATACGTTTCTTTGTGGATGCGCGCGCATCCACTTAATTAAACACAAATGTCTGCTGACCAGACAATGTCATAACAGTTTGCAGCAGTTTGTGGGGTTATTTGTTCAGCTTTGATAGTCAAGTACTTCTCCAGTATCCACATATATCACAAATACAACTCCAGTGAGAGATGTAAAGCCACGTTTTGCCCAAGTGCCATCAAAACTAACAGCGGTATCTATAACCGAGGTCTTGTCTCCACACAACCGCTTTCCTTTATAATTCGTTCTCTGAGTCGTTTTGCAGCCTGTTTCATTTTCTTTTTAGCTTCAGTCACAAGAGCATTTAAAAAGTTTCTAAATGTTGATAGTAGGAAGCTTTGCTCATACATGGCATATTCATGTTGCAGAGAGATTTTAGACTTTCGTATCCACCACCCGTCTATATCGAATAGTGCACTGAGTGTCGGTTTATATCAGCAGACTTCCCTCCCACAAAGAAGGATGTCTCCAAAGAGGACTCTTCTTCACAAGAACTACAGGTCGCAGTTAGATCAGATTGAAGACCTTATTTTCCATCCTGCTGTTCTTGAACAATCAAGCTGTCTACAAATAGAAAAACATAATTTCTCAAAAGGCTGATCATATCCTATGTTGTTCATTTATATCCCATGAGAAAGTTAAACTCGCAAATCTATATTATACATATCATACATGTGCATGACTCTCTACATATATAAACATATAGTATAGTCAAATATAGAATAACTATAACATAACATAACATAACATAACATAACATAGCTTAACATAACATAGCTTAACATAACATAGCTTAACATAACATAGCTTAACATAACTTAACATAGTTTAACATAACATAGCTTAACATAACATGACATAACGTATTATTATAAGTAATAGCATGGCATTCAGGGCGATTAGTGATTAAATGTACCCGAAAGAGGTTTAGTAAGAGGGACATTTCGAGGCTTGAGGAACATTTCATCACTAATCGACCGTAATGCCATGCTATTACTTTGTAATATCATAGTTGCCGAGGGAATCGCGCGTGGTGTGTTGCCTATTTTGAATGCTGTTTGATTGTCTTATGATTGTGGTACGAACACTTTTCACATATACGCACGCGCAGAAACACATCTCCGTGTTCATTCGTTTTAGGCATGCGCATAAACGGAATTTTTTCCCACAATTGTAATGTTCAAGATTAGGGAATAAAAGCTGGCAAAGTGATTGTTCGAATGTGTACGGGACGGTGTCGTCAGATACTGTCCATAGTTGTGCCGATGATTTTCGATGAGGTACGCTTTTGTCTTCTAAATTTCCCTCATCAAGCATGCGGGGGAAAATTAGAAGACAAAGAAATCCTTTGTTTTCAACTAAATTTCCCGGGTAAATTTAGTTGAAAACAAAGGATTTCTTTGTCTTCTAATTTTCCCTTGCATGCTTGATGAGGGAAATTTAGAAGACAAAAGCGTATGCATGGGTAATGAGGTAAATTAGTGATTAATCGTACCTCGCGAGACAAAGGATTTCGAGGCAACTATGGTATTACATAACATAACGTATTACATAATATAACGTATTACATAACATAACGTATTACATAACATAACGTATTACATAACATAACGTATTACATAACATAACATAAGGTATTACATAACATAACGTATTACATAACATAACATAACGTATTACATATGATATCCCAACCTCGTTCCCAGGGCTTTCTTATAAGGACGAGGGGAGAAACGAGAAAGCCCTGGTTCGGGCCGGTCACGTGACTACCCAAAAGATGGCAGTATTTGACAGCTACTCGTCAAGGAGTGGCGAGATATTCTTTAATGAAATATACAAGTCTTCGGAACAAATAAACAGCCAAAAGACTTCTCAATCGATATCATGTATGTGTAGCGAAGTTTGGCACGAATTAGCTGAAATCTCTGAAGACCCCGTCTATGTTTTCTAAGATATACCGATATTTCTGGAGATTTTCAACCACAGGCAAAGCTGCATCCAAGCTGCATCTAGGCGTCTCCATGCAAGTGGTGATTCGCACGAAATTTGCTTTCTCTCATCTTGAACAATATGGTTATTGCCTTTTAATTTAATTTAATATACTCTTTCTCGACCGGCCTATTCACGTGATAAATAAGTGGGGTATGTTCCAGTGCGATTTTCTCTGCGAGTACTTGACCCTTTTAAGCGCATGATGCATCGTTTGAAAGCTCATTGACTTCGGCTATCGATTGATGACGGTTGGTTCAGTTTTGAAATGTGACACGTGACCAAAAAATGCATAAATTTGCATAAATTATGCAAAAATGTGGCAATTATATTTGTATTTCGCCTCATTACGATCAAACAATGCAAATTTTGCAATACATTATATTTATGATAAGTTCGCTTAGGTTATATGGTATATGTGTACCAAGTTTCAAAATAATTGACTAACAGAAATTTTTTTTTTATTTTTGAAGTTCACTCTTTAGAAATAGCCAAATCGTGCCCTCATGATCAATTTCATTGACATGTCTCCAATATATTAATCATGCCAGAGCCATATATATATTTTTTTAAATAGTGGTAGTGGGTAGGCTTTAAGAATTTAACTCCTTCCCCCCCCCCATATTTCTAGTGAAATTTTCTCTAAAATTTGTCGAAATAAAGAATCTAAGCAACTCGGCAACCCGAAATGGGAAAGTCACCCCCCCCCCCCGGTAAACA